GTAGTGATACCACCTCGGAAACCCAAGGAGGGCTCGCTATAAGTCACCATGTAACAACAACAGTAACAACAATAAGCAGTATTGTAGGATTATTACTTCTAAATGGCAACTGAACAAAGGTGAGAAAGTCCACCTAAAAGTCAATAGACAATAGATCGTCATTTCTTTTCCCAATACTCTTTTGAAAGTATTAATGTTTCCTTAAAAAGCCAACCTAAGGCCTACATTTTTTCCCTTTAGACCAAACTCTGCCATCAAGTCAATTTCAATTCATAGCGACTCCTTCTTGGGGTTTCCAAGGCGTTATCTCTATGGAAGTAGATTGCCCAATTTTCCTTCCAAGGAGTGGCCGGTGGGTTTGAACTTCCAGCTTTCTGGTTAGCAGGCAAGTGCCTTAGGCACTATGCCACCAGAGCTCCTTTATTTCTGGAGACACTCATGCAGATCTACTGAACTTGGGGAGAGTGCTGTGCCTTTCCTGATGTCCTCTCTAAATTGGACTCTAGATCTAACTTTTCAGACTTTCATGCACTTCCTAGGCTGGTTTGTTGCTGTTGTGCTGAGTGCTAAGTCCTCTGTGATAGTGACCTGCGTTATTATGGACCACTCATGCTTTGACTGTCATTCAAACACAACACGGGGATTCTGCATGCTTTAAAATCAGGACGGGCATGCATCGGGGTTGTATCCTTTCACCATACTTATTCAATATTAGCAAATAATCTGAAAACTGGACTGTATGAAGAAGAACATAGCATAAGATTGGAGGAAGACTCATTAACAACCTGCCTATGCAGGTTACACAACCTTGCTTTCTGAAAGTGAAGACAACTTGAAGCACTTACTGATGAAGATCAAAGACTACAACCTTCAGTATGGTTTACACCTCAACATGAAGAAAACAAAAATTCTCATAAGTAGACTGATAAACAACATCACAACAAATAGACAAAATATTGAAGTTTGTTGAGGATTTCATTTTTCTTAGATCCACAATCAACATCTCTGGAAGCAGCAGTCAAGAAATAATATTAATAATAAATAATAATATCAAAGAACATAATATTAACTATTCAAAGCAAACAGTCTAGTGGCATCCAGTACATTGCACTGGGCAAATCTGCTGCAAGGGACCTTGTTAAAGTTTTAATGAGCAAAGATGTCACTTTGAAGACTAAGGTGTGCCTAACCAAGCCATGATATTTTTAGTTGCCTCATATGCATGTGAAAGCTGGACAATGAATAAGGAAGCCTGAAGAAGAATTGATGCTCAAGGTACATCATTAAACTACACACATGGCACATACATACCCTTCTCCAAAAAAAAAAAAATTCAGAAGCCCAAGACATGGCACTTCCTCTCCCTCTCACTATTTTAAATTCAGATACTCTGGGGAGCATCTAGGTCATCAACTTGAGACTTAGACTGAGGCTTTGGTTCTTCGGAAGTGAAGACACCTTCAAGTGCTGCATCTTTTTTCTTTTTCTTTATTGAGGTGAAATTCAAAGAACATAATATTAACTATTCAAAGCAAACAGTCCAGTGGCATCCAGTACATGATATAATAATTGTGCAACTCATCTATCTTATTCCAAAATATTCTTATCGCCCCAAAGAGAACCTTTGTCCCAATTAAACTGACTGCACCAATCTATCCATTCAGTGCAACTCCATTAAAAAACCCCAAGTTTTTTAGTGGATATTGACAAGCTAATTCTAAAATACATTGCAAATATATGAGAAATATGTACTGAAAATGAAAAAGATCCAGAATAGCTAAGACAACCTTAATGAAGATGAGTAAAGTTGAAGGATGGACCCTTACAGATAGTGAGTACAACTCAATAAAGCCATAGTCATTAAGGTAATATGCTATTAACACAGTCAGACACATGTCTGGGACAGAATTAGAGATCAGAATCCGTCTCCCATCTACACTGACTTATGTCAAAGATTGTACTATAAGACTGTAGGTAAAAAATTGCCTTTTCAATAAATGGTCCTGGGGTCAATTGGATATCCATATGAAAAAATAGTAATTTGATCTTACCATATGCAAAACACAAGAATTACATTTAGGTGAATTGTAGATGTAAATATGAAGATGAAACAACAATGACTACAAAAAGCTTTGGAAACTCTCCTTTTCAAAACTAATTTTTAAAAAACCATCTTATACTTTAGTAAAATAGAATGCAATGCTGCCTGGTTAACATGACAATGTAAAATTGCTATAAAAGTGTCTTAACACTTTGTGTCAATATCTTTATCTCATCATGAACTGGTAACAAACACTTAGCTGGTTGGCAGTAGCCCATGGACCACACGTTGAATAGCATCCTTCCAGAAGAAAAGTGATAAGAATACATGACTTTGGGATAGGGCAAAGATTTCTTAACTAGAACACGCAAAGTCCTCACTCCAAAGGAAAATACAGTGGGCTACAACCAAATTACAAACTTCTGTTTATCAAAAAACACTATTGAAAGGAAATCTTTTTTTTTTTTTTCACTAATGGAAAAGCCACAAAGTGGGAGAAAAGATCTGCAGTACTCACAACCAACAGAGGACTCCAGTCTAGAAGAGGTAAAGAATGCCACAAATCAGTAAGCAAAGGAAGGACCCCAACAGAAAATGGGAAAGCATTTTAGCAGAAAGTTGCAAAAGAGGATATCTAGATGGCCACCAAGCATGTGAAAAAGCGCTTAATCTCATTAGTCACCAGGGAAATGCAAATTAAATCTACCCTGAGATACCACTGTGAACACACTACTTATCTACCTATTGCCATCCAGTCAATCCTCACTCACAGCAACCCTGTAGGAAGGACAGAGTAGAACTGTCTCCATAGGGTTTCCAAGGCTGTAATCTTTACAGAAGCAGACTGCTATATCTTTCTCCCAAGGAGCAGCTGGTGGTTCACATTGCCTACCTTTCTCTTAGCAGACAAGCACTTAAACATTGTTCCAGCCCTGGGAAAATCTGTTGTAAAATATGTCTTTAATGTGTTAAGGAGCAAAGATGTCACTTTGAAGGTTAAAGTGTGACTTTTTATAATACTGAACTATATTTGTCCTTTTGTGATTGACTTATTTCACTCAGCATAATATCCTCCAAGTTCATCCATGTTAAGCAGTGTTTTGCAGATTCTACATTAATCTTTAGTGTTGCATAATATTCCATTGTGTGTATGTACCATAGTTTGGTTATCCATTCTTCTGTTGATGGGCACGTAGGTTGTTTCCATCTTTTTGCTATTATAAACAGTGCTGCGATGAACATGAGTGTGCATATATCTGTTCTTGTCCTGGCTCTCACTTCTTTAGGATATATACCTAGTCGTGGGAT